GAGAGAGACTGAGTTTTTGAAAGTAATATATCTCCACCCAATCAACAAGATGAACAAATAGGCGCAACATAACAGCACAAACTAACCTTTGGTTGAGCTATTCCAAGGCTCTCAAACAATTCAGGATGTTTGATAGGAAGCTCAATGACCTGCAAAGGTGATAAGCCACAAACAGAGAGAAAAAAAAAACCATCAAACAAAAAGATTAATAATGAAGGACCCAAGTAAAATCAAAATCCTCTGTATGCAACTAACTGTAAATCCATAGAGAAAAAATGTGCAGTGAACCCACCTCCTTTATCTCCTTAATTTGTTGATCAAGACCACCAATCATGTCATATGTAGAATCTGGAACTTTTTCAACTTTCATGAGGTTGACCAGTGGATCTACTTTGCTTGGCAAGATCAAATGAAGAACATAGCTGTCATTACGAAGTGCTACTCTTGTTGACGGTGTGATCTTGGTAATATCAATGTTTTTGTCAATATCAACAACATATTTCCCCTCTGGATGGACCTGGGAGAAAAGAAAAAATGTAGATACAAATTTATTTTAGGAATTTTATTGTTTTCAATTATCTGCAAAGTATCATGGGAAGCTATGATCAGCTAAAACCATTAATTTCATATAACAATATCAAAAACATATTTCCCCTCTGGATGGACCTGGGAGAAAAGAAAAAATGTAGATACAAATTTATTATAGGAATTTTATTGTTTTCAATGATCTGCAAAGTATCATGGGAAGCTATGATCAGCTAAAACCATTAATTTCATATAACAATAAATGCAATCTATCACCCATTGTTGCCCATATTAAAAGTACCTAGCTCATCAATCGGTAAAACATCGCATAGCTCAACTATTAACTGAAGAAATAGTGAAAATATGTAACACGTGCATGAACAAACTTTAACACAAATAATGTGATAGCTGGGTGGACGAATGGGACATATTCAGGCATTTATCGATATAGAAAAACCATTCAGTGCTTAGAGTAGTGAGAGATATCAGCTCTATGTGGAAGTACCGCGTCTTATTTAATTATTACAAAAATTTCTCTTGGTACATGTTTATCCATACTAGAACTTTCAGTTCGCGTACATGATATCAGCTAAACAATAAACCCCGAACTAACTCCACAAATCACAAGTAGATCTACCTGAGTCATGATTAAGAACCCAGATTCAAAGAGACCGAATATAATTTATTATCATGATCTTAAATGTCAACAAAAAGATATAATTCCAAAAAAAATCTCATCATCCAGCACATTTTAGATTTTTACCTAAAAAGTAAGACTAAGTTAAAAAGAGAGACCAAAAAAGAAATAAATAAATATATGCAAACCCAAGCCAGCATTAAAATAACAGGCAATTAAACAAAAGAAACCACAAACAACAAAATTTCAAAATTTTGAACCTTTGTATACTTATAACGGTAAAAGCTATAAGAGGTGAGGCATCTGACCTTAACAAGAACCTTATTTTTGCCCATCACTTTGACCACTTCGCCAACATACGATCCAGGCTCCTGAAGCAGCTGTAATTCTTCTCTAAGCATCCTAACTGTTGATTTGACATAATTCGAAGAATGTCATAAACTAATCTGCAAGTCTCAACCCACTACTAACTAAAACAAAACGTTTATGTCAATTAAAAATCAATCTTAATAACTATCTTATCCCATCACAAATTTCATAGTCATTGATAATCCACTACAGGATAACACCATAAAAAACCATACAGAAATCGTAAGACAAACCCTAGGAAAAAAAGGTTAAAAATTAAAATAAAATCCAATACATGGTAAAAATTAGGGTTAGGGTTGAGGTACGGAACCTCTTGAATTGAGTTCGTTACGCTGGGCTTCAAGGCGATTGAGATTGTGGGTTTTTTGACGGACTTGGAGCTGTAGTTCGTGGATATGTTGGAGATAGTATTGCCTGAGTCCCTCTCCTTGTTTCAATGCCCCTCTAGCTGAGCATGCCTCCTCCGCCACCAACGATTCCGGCTGCTTAGTTTCGATTCCTACAGCGGCCATTGCAATCGAGTTCGAATCTAATTTCTTTGGGATCAAGTTTTCTGTTTGGTTTGGGAACCGAGATTATGCCTCTGCCTGTCGACTGCGATTTGTGCTTATACCCAACTGTTGGGCTAAGGCGGTTTAACACTAAATTGGTGGACCGTAGCGAGCCCATGGGCTTCGTTAGTGGCCTGTAAAAAGGAGCCCGCTCGTTAGAGATTATTAAAAGCCGTGTATTTTTTAATCCTAAATTTTGTGTAATCTTATATTTGTTAACATATAAATGAAACAATTTTATACAAAATATTTTCAAAGAATGTAAAAAAACAATGAAAAAATGGAGGTGGTGTTTGTTTTTTTATTTTTTTTATTGTTTGATTATAAGCAGTTGTTTATTTTCATATATTGTAAACATATTAAAACTAATATTTTGATGCATATGTTCTTGTGAAGTTAATTTTATATTTTTACATGTTTTAAGTGATTTTAAATAATCAAATTATGAAAATCAAACAAAATAAAGATATGTAAAAATTAATGATAACTATGTTATTCATACTTTACATAGTATTTAAAAGTTTATTATAACAAAAAATAAATTAAAAACAACTAAATTAATTAAATTATAGAAGGAGTTGACTTGAATTTGGTCCCGTAATTGTTGAACACTTGATCATATGTTACAAACAAATTGCTTGCATTTGATAGTCGAGTTTGATTTGTGTGGCTATGATACATTAAAGAACAATATAGACACACATAATTAATGTAAATTCAAGTTTTGATAAAAATGAAAATATATAAATTCGATAAGGGTATAGTTGACAAAAGAATTATTATTAGTTTAGATGTTTTAGTATTCAATAAAAACCAAGTTTTTTTGGTTTTATATGATAACCAGATAAAAATTAAAAAACAAACAAACCTAAAATGTCCGAATCAAGTAAAGTTAGACTCATTTAATCTTCAGAGCAAAAAACAAACAGGGTCGGAATGTTATTCAGTGGAATGCTCATTCCATTTCCTCACCCATTCGGTTGGAGCAAATACACTCTCAAAACCTTATAAGCGTTGTGAGCTATATCAGTATATTGGAAACTATAGAGTACAAAAAAACATCAATATAAAATAATGTCACGGACACCAAAGTTTTACACTGAAATTTTACACTGAATGACGTGTCACTTGAGTAGACGCAACCACATAGCACATTAACAAATATTCCGTGAATGAACGGTCATCCATCAAATATGGACGAGCGTCCATAATTATTGGACGATCGTTCATTTTAAACGGACTCCCGTCCATGAGAAAATAATAATGAACTCATATTCATGTTATATGAACGGGCATTCACTTAGAATGAATGTCCATCTATAGTTTAAATTAAAAAAAATTTAAAACAAAAATAATAGACTCTCATCTATAATATATGGACGGACGTCCCTATTAGGGGGAAAAAAAAAAAAAAAACTAATGCATTGTCACCAACTGAAACAAAAATCATTTCTCTTTTACTTCTAATGGTTTATCACCTATCATGAAGTGCATCAATATTAAGGTCTTCTTTTAATGATTCCTTGAAATGAACCTTTTTTTAGCTTTTCATGTAAGCAATTGTGCTTGAGAATGTTTTCGCAGTTATCTAAAGTTGAACGTGAAGTTGACCCAAGCTGCAAGTTGAAAGAGCCTAATGAAGGTGCATCTGAAAATTTTGTTAAAGGGCAGAGTTCGGAGAGTGAGAATAGAGTTTATACCTTTTTAGCTGGAGGTTGTACATAATTTCCTGTCAGGGGATTGATTTTTGAGCCAATCTATGCTTCCACTGATAATTATCTAGAGGAAAGCATTCACAATACTTTGGAATCTAGCGATAGAGTTGCAAGGAGAGCTTCATATTGGTCAATTAGAGGACATGGCAATCCTGCTGTGCCTGAGACACTGATATATAAGTTGGTTAGTGATATGTGTGCTATTTCTGAAATCAATATACAACCTTTCCACGACATCTACACCTGAAGTTTCAGCCAGTGAAGCTTCATCATCGGCAGGCAGACACTTTGACGCCGTTCCACCACACTTCTTTGATTTTCTCGGGGTAGGAGCCACATGAAGTTAAGAAGGAATGAAAAGCTACAAAAAAAGGTTCATTTCAAGGAATAACAAAAGGATCAAAACCTTCCACACCCCACGCTGGATTTACAGCCTGTACCTTTCCAGTTAGTCCATAAGGATTGGACACCCATATTCCAGGACCATACAATCCTGTTACATGAAATGCGCCAAACCCAAAACAAGCTACTCCGAAGAAAAATAAATGAATTCCAAAGATCTTAGGCAAATCCAAAGAAGGTTTTCCTGTATGTTCATCACCAAATATTTCTAGATCCCAATACACCCAATGCCAAATAGCTGCCAAGAATCATCAAAAGAAGACCTTAATATTGATGCACTTCATGATAGGTGATAAACCATTAGAGGTAAAAGAGAAATGATTTTTGTTTCAATTGGTGAAAGTGCATTAGTTGTTTTTTTTATTTTTATTTTTTTCCTAATAAGGACGCTCATCCATATATTATGGATGGGCGTCCATTATTTTTGTTTTAATTTTTTTTAAATTTAAATTATAGACGGATATCAATTTTAGGTGAACGCTTGTCCATATAATATAGATGTGAATCTATTATTATTTTTTTATGGACAGGAGTCCGTTTAAAATAAACGATCGTTCAATAATCATGGACGATGGACGAGCGTCCATTCATGAAATATTTGTTAATATGTTACGTGATTGCGTCTACTCAGGTGACACATCGTTTGGTACAAAATTTCGATGTAAAACTTGGTGTCCGTGACATTATTGATCAATATAATTAGGGGGGTTTAAATGAAAATTTCTTTAATTATTCAGAATTTAAAATGAAAAGAAAAGGAAAAGTCCGCGTGTATAAGATGACATCCAGCAGAAGCGTTTTTCTTGTAACTCATGTTACCGACCCAGCTCTGTTTTCTTTGTATAGCAAAATTGGTTATAGTTTTCTCGTACTTTTTTTACCCCCTGAACCATTAAACAGTTCAATTTCTCTCAGAGCCTAGGCCCTAGGTTTAGGAGGCGTAGATTTATGCAAATTACCCCAATACCACCCGCTATATCCATTTCTGTAAATCCAATTTTTTTTCAATATCATTTTCTCATCTCAATTTAAAACCATTTTAATTGAATATTGATTATTTTAAAGGGATGGATAAGAAAAAGGTTGCCGTTCCGCTTGTATGCCACGGCCATTCTAGGCCCGTAGTGGATCTGTTTTACAGTCCTATTACTCCCGATGGATTTTTCCTCATCAGTGCTAGCAAGGGTACGCATCTCTTCATTTTCTTTTTTCTTTTTTTTTTTTCCTGTTAATTTATTATAATGTCAGTATAAATTTGTAATTGCTTGTGATCGTTGATGATTTTGAATACTAATTTATGGTAATGTCAGTGTAAGTTCGTAATTTCTTGTGATCGTTGATTGATTTTGGAATTCTAAATGTCAGTATAAGTTTGTAATTACTTGTGATCGTTGATTGATTTTGGAATTCTAAATGTCAGTATATTTGTAATTGCTTGTGATCGTTGATTGATTTGGAATCCTAGGATGATTTGGTGTTAGTGTTGGATTGATTTAATCCATAGTTATAAGTGCAATGAGATGCTGAATTGGAAAAGGAGATTGTATAATCGACTCTGTAATACAAATATGCTGACATGAGCTTGTTGGAATGATAATTAATTTTATTTGTAGCAAATCTAATAAAATTTTCAATTGCTGAATCTGATCGTTGTACTTGTGTAATTCAGATTCTACTCCCATGCTCAGAAATGGAGAGACTGGAGATTGGATAGGGACGTTTGAAGGTCACAAGGGTGCGGTGTGGAGTTGCTGCCTGGATACCAATGCTATGCGTGCTGCATCTGGTTCTGCCGATTTTAGTGCGTATGTAATTGACCCCTCTTTTCTCGTAAGAGTAACTTTAAAATTCTTGTCTTCGCATGTATCTGAAACTTGCTTATAGGACTTTCTCATCTAATTCTTTATAACCTGATACCTTTTGATGATTCTTACGGTATGAGAGGTCAGATAAGTTGAAATTTTTTTAGAAATGGCATGTTTTTTCAAACACGTTGAGTGTTGAGTATTTAGTGTATTTTGGATGTATCTGTAATTGATGGTGAGCCAGAGATAGAGATAGAGACATCATTTTCTTGGTGTTAATTCCATACAGTTAATACGTTGATAAGTTTTTTTTGGTACTTGATAGTGAGGTGTTTAATTATAGATAAATAGGTTCACATGAAATTTGCACTAAAATTATGTGTGCAGGAAAGTATGGGATGCATTAACTGGAGACGAGTTGCACTCATTTGAGCACAAGCACATCGTTCGAGCTTGTGCTTTTTCCGAGGTAATTTTTTTTTTCTATTTTATTTTTATTTTATATGACATAAGATTATTCTGAAAGCCTTTAGTCGTTTCTATTTGTTGGAGTCAATTTGGACCATATGTTTCTAGCTTGAAGCTAAGCTCAAGTTCATGAAGATGTATGTGCTGAATTGTTGTGTTATGGTTAATTTTTTTTCCCTTTATGATTAGTGTTAATCTAATCATTTCAGTTGGTCTGTGAATGTAGTATCTTCACTGTCTGTTGTGGTAGTTCTATGTATCTTAATCATTTTGGGGATTTTGGTGGATTAGTATTTATGAACACATAATTAGGCTCATGATGCATCACATTTGATGTTTTCTTCAAACTGTACACAGGATACTCATCTTCTATTGACTGGAGGAGTGGAGAAAATCCTTCGTATTTTTGATTTGAATCGTCCAGATGCACCTCCAAGAGAAGTGGATAGATCTCCTGGTTCAGTCAGAACTGTTGCATGGCTCCATAGTGATCAGACAATGTTAAGCTCTTGCTCTGACATGGGCGGTGTCAGGTATGCCTATTTCTCCTGCATCATGTTTAATGCCATTTTGATGTGATACTTACGTTGTTACATGGAAAGTAATTTTGTTTGATATCTTGGGTTTTTTTTTTTTTTTTTGATTCCTTTCAATAACTGTAATGTGATAGTTTATCATGAAAATTCTGGGTGCTTTTCTAAGTATATACTAATGCAAGTTGTAGATAGAATAAGCTAAAGACATAGGTCCACTTACGAAGCTGCATTGCATTTGCAGAGGTTTGGGGATCAAATCTTAGAAAATGAGGGTTAAATTTGAGGTCGTAGGGGATTTTAGTATTCTTTTGGCTTAAGGAAAAAGAGATTTAAAAAAAATGTTAATTTCTTCATATATTCTGCAGATGTTTGATTACTTCTTGTTACTTGATAGAAAAATTCTTGGGCTAGCTATTCAATTATATTATATTTTAATATTTTATACATGTTTTCTCCTAAAGTTAAAGTTGAAAATAGTTCTTGAAATTTTTTCTAATCAGTACTAAAATTATTAGTGGTTGTACAGGTTATGGGATGTAAGAAGTGGTAAGATAGTTCAAACACTCGAGACCAAGTCATCTGTGACCAGTGCTGAAGTGAGTCAAGATGGTCGGTATATCACAACTGCTGATGGGTCAACAGTTAAATTCTGGGATGCAAACCAGTAAGTTTTAGGCCAGATTGATTATTTTTCTTTACCCAGGTTTCCACCTTGTTCTGTCTAAGATTATTAATTTCTTTCCCCAGTTTTGGGCTTGTGAAGAGCTACAACATGCCATGCACAATAGAATCAGCTTCATTGGAACCAAAGTATGGGAATAAGTTCATTGCTGGGGGAGAAGATATGTGGATTCGTGTTTTTGATTTCCACACTGGTGATGAGATAGGTATGTACTTCAACATGAACTCAATCTATTAAAATAAAACTTAAATGATTTGTTTCTCATGTGATCTTTTTAATTGACAATATGAGTTTGGGTGGTTCGTGCTACATTCTGTCTATTGAATGTAGTATCTCAAAATAACTTTTAGGCCTCGTTATTTCTGTAGTTATTAATTTTTGTCTGGGTACAGCATGCAATAAAGGCCACCATGGTCCTGTACACTGTGTGCGCTTCTCACCGGGAGGGGAATCATATGCCTCAGGATCAGAGGATGGAACCATTAGAATATGGCAGACAGGCCCTTTGACTCATGATAATACTGAAGCTGTACCAGCAAATGGTTCAGTTGGAAAGGTTAAGGTAACTGCAGAAGAGGTTTCGCGCAAGATTGAAGGTTTCCATATTGCAGATGAGGGGAAGACTAAAGAGAAAGAAGAAGCAGGAAATGAGTGATAAGGCCAATCACATTTCTCATCATTTTGTTTCGCATAATGTTCAGATCTCTTAGATATTATATATAGAGACTAAACCAGAATTTTTTCATAGTTTCTTGTTAATGATGCATTAAATAGATATAGTCTGGACCAAATGTCGTGTACAAGTTCTGCTTGCCTCTGAAATTGAATTATGGACCTTTTAATTTTGCATGTTTAGACTTATAAGCACTGTGTACAGTGGAATGCAGCAAGGATCTCTACGGGTATACTTCAATCAGGAACTATCTCCAACTGAAGTTGTTAACATTTTAACAGTTAGCCTGACAAAATTGAGATGCTTTGAAGTATTATTATATTTCTAGTTTCTTCCCGTCCATTTTGAGGATCCCTGAATGATTCTATAGCATATTGGCTTGGTTAGTTTTATTGCCGTAATTTGACTTCATTTAATTCATTATTTGATGATTTTTAGAATAGTATTTTGAAAAAAAAAAAAAAGCAAAATTGAGTTATTTTTATGAGAAATGTAATTATTAATGTTTTGTGAAATGAATAAAATAGAATAAGATTTTGAGAATATTTAATCAAATGCATTTTTAATTTTTTAGGATATAATAGTATAATAGGATAGTGATATAATATTGAAACAAAGGGGCAATTTGAAAAAACTTTGCATCAATGAAATGGGATTAGAAAAATGATACTTTACTTCAACTTTTTGTGTAAACTGAGATTATCTTTTCAGAATCTGGAAGTTGTAAGGCGTTTATAAAAGTTTTAATATTGGTCTTAAGATTTAATAGGAAAAACTTTAAAAACTAAATTTACATATACATGGGTGGAGTTGTTGGAATTCAATATCATTATTATTCATTAGTGCAGTCAAGAACTAATGATACACATCTCCATGTTGCGCTAAAAATCACTAAGAAAGATTGAGAACCAACGTCACAGCTAAATTTTGAGGACTTGGCCAAGCTCTGTTTTTTTTTTAATTGAAGGGTATTAAAGTCTTTTTAATTTTTGGTTTAACTTTAAATCACCATTAGTTGAAGTTTATAGCTCATCTTAATTAATAATCACTCTTATTAAAAACGTAATTTAATTTGTTTCAATAGTAATAAAGTTTGCATTGATAATTTTGATGGGATTATAAATTTAAAATAATTGTATCGCATTGAATTGGAATTACACATAAAAGCAACTTGAATTGATCAATGATTCTATTTCTTGATTTTAAAGAATAATCATAAATAATCATAATGCATTAGCCAACGTGTCGTCTATGTGAATATTATTTTATAATGAGAAAAATAAAATAAATAAAAGGATATGACATGGTGATGGAGGGGTGAACTTGGTTTTTTGGTAAAGAAAAATGGGAAAAATAAAAAAAAAGGAGAGTACCATGAAGGTAAATATATAAGCATCCAAGGGCTTTTAATTTGTAAGAAAAGAAGAAGAAGGGCTAATTATGTAAATACAAAAAAAGCAAAGCTGAATAAACAAGTAACCCCTCAAGACTTTTGTTGGTTGAATTGCAATCATCTGTGTGTCGAGTGCCTCCTTCTCGTTCTCGTTGTCTACCATCTCTGTGTCTGAATTTGCAAAAAAAATTCCATTTTGGCGGGAAAGATGTCTGGAAAAGGGGCAAAAGGTTTGATTATGGGAAAGGCCTCCGCCAGTAACAAAGATAAGGACAAGAAGAAACCAATCTCTCGCTCCTCCCGAGCCGGCCTTCAGGTTCTTTTAGATCTCTCTCTATATTTGCGTTTTTCTCCTCTACATTCCGCTTTTAATTTTCACCCATTTTATGTTCCTTATTAATTTCATTGTTTCATTAAAGAATTGTCAATTTTATGTTCTAAACGACATTCTTTTCTTGCATATTAGGTTTTCTTTTTTAATATTACAGTTTTGTTTTTGTTATATTTTGGTGGCCTAGAGTAAATTCTCATCAGAACATGAGGTGAAATTGAACAAGTTAGATAAAACATGTATTCTGAGATGAGTGAGTTATTAATTTTAGCTTGAATCCTTGTGCTTTGAAGTTTATGGTAGATATGTTGAATTATTGGGTGAGTGATTGAGAGAAAGGCTATAGATGATTATGGTGCTTAATTCGTAAGCTATTGGTTCTGAAACTTGATGTGTCTTGAACCAAAATGTAATTTAAAGTATGTCACAGGTGATTGTTCAGGTTGGTTTTAAGTCAGTCTCATTATTCCTGTAGTCCTAGATTGTGCAACTGAAGAATATGATGCCTGGTAATTTTTTAATGGGTTATTATCAAATGCCTACTCTGAGGTATCAGGTTTTCTCAAGTACCTCACAAATGTATCAGAAATCCTCAAAACCCTCCCCTCACATTTCAACTTTCCTCAGAATCATCCCTTGGGCACCGTTTACTCACAGTTTAGTCTAACTGAAAATGTCAAAAGCCGATAATGGCCTTAACCAGCTCTACCTCATTTTTTTTTCAATATCCTTAATAATTAAATAAACAGAAAATAAAATACAAACCCAAAACAATTAATTAATTAACAAATTAATTCCCATTTGTTGATGAAAGTTTATAGTTTTGATAAACTATCTAATACGTAGTGAATATATTAAATCTTTCTATAATTAAACTTATTCATGTACTGTAACTTCGGCTAACATTTTTAAATAATATATAATATATTTGCAAATCAAAATTTGCAACTTCTCATTCCAACTCAAGTTACAAATTTGCAGTGCATTTATCACAAGAAAATTTGTAATTTGCAGTACCTTTATCACAAGAACAAATTTACCAACATAACACAACAGATATTCTTCTTCAAATTAAATTAAAAACAATTGAAAATAATATCACATATAATTCTTAAAAAATAACAAAAAACCCAAAAATACATCTTCTTCACCACCGACCAACCGTCAACAACCAAATAATCAAACAACAAAAGTTCAATTTCATTGCCACATCCACCACCATCAATAGCCAAAAATAATAGAAATATCAGAACCCCCACTATAGACAATAGGATTTTAAAAGAAATCAAGAATCAAATAAAAATCGAGAATCATCACCCTGTTGCGTTTTCCGTCACTATAAACCATTGAATCAATATGGCCGCAGTTTTTCTCCATATGAAACCCAATAAATAGAGTCACCAGCATGACCATTCAAATCATTGAAGGAAGAAAAAAATAAAAGGCTCATCTGACTTAGGAGATGGAGAAAATCATTGAATATATTTGAAGAGATTTTTTCCTTACATAGACAGAGAAGAATGTGTTTAGAGAGAAAGAGGCCGAGAGGGAGAAAAAGAAAACAACGAAATGCTTTATACCTTGAATTAGGTTTTTGTCACTTGTGAGTGTATAAGTTAGGTTGAAATAATGCATGTACCCCTGTTCGGTAATGTTTGACTGTAAGAAAATGGTGGAAAAGGGAGGCAATGGAAGAAAGCTGAAATGTGAGGTAAGGTTTTCGGAGATTTCTGATATGGGAAGCACTTGAGAAAACATGATACCTCAAGGGAGGTACCTGATAATATCCCTTTATTAATTTGATACATATAAATGTTCATGTAATATGTTGACTATAAATGCAGCTGTCTGTTATATTTGATGAACTACTACTTCTTCACCAAGTTTTATTTGGTCATAACGTCTAGTAAATATAGATGAGAGAGCAACATTTTGGCCACCCAATAAGATTCTTTAGATCTAATGCCTCCTTTACCTGGTTCAGTGATTTGGGGATTAATTATATAGAGTCCACTATCTCGTCTATGTTAGCAATAGGTTGGTGAAACTAGCTAGTTATTGGAGGTGGTATTAAAATAGCACATTACAAGTTATTACTGTATGTGACTTCAAGTTTTGAGGACCTGATGTAGGGATCTTTTCTTATTATTGGATTTTTAACTTTTAGATGTCATTTTCACATGATACAAGGACTTTTTATGGGGGAAATTCATATGAAATTGATCCCACTAACCGGAAAGGGCGAATGATAGCTTCATTCTTTTTATCATTTTATTGATATTATTGAAAGACGTATTTAGTGTTCTGGATCCTGTTTAAGATTCTCTGAATACTGTTGCGATTAATGTTACTTGACACCGGGTATTGCATGCTCTGTTTTCTTTATTAAAAAAAAAAAAAAGAATTGGGTCCTTACTGAATAGTTTGTGTGATATTTAACATGCAGTTCCCTGTGGGTCGGATACACCGTCTTTTGAAGTCAAGGACTACTGCACATGGGAGAGTTGGAGCTACTGCTGCTGTGTATTCAGCTGCTATTTTGGAGTATTTGACTGCAGAGGTGTTGGAGTTGGCTGGAAATGCAAGCAAAGATCTCAAGGTGAAACGTATAACTCCCAGGCATTTGCAGCTTGCAATCCGTGGTGATGAGGAACTTGATACCTTGATCAAAGGGACCATTGCTGGTGGGGGTGTCATCCCTCACATCCATAAATCACTCATCAACAAGTCAACCAAGGACTAGTTTCAAATGGATTATGGCTGCATATATTTGTCAGTCTCAACTCAAAATGTGGGAACAGCCGAACAGATTCCTCATCCTCTGATTAAATTTATGGATTTTTCACTCCAGCTGTTAAGTGGGATCATACATTTATCTGTTTTATTCTTATGCTTGATCTTTGGTTGCTGAACCTGGTATTCTGTTTATGACATATGTTGTGGATAATGACATTCTCTAACAAGTTTAATATTTCTATGGTACAGAAAGGTTGTCATGAATAGTCACATGCCCTTGTGCCAGTTTTGTTTGTAGTGCCATCATTGTGCATATTGCCTATTGTCAGTTGAGTACAGGTTTTCTTCATTATTTGACGTGATAATGAAATGAATCTGATGGAGTACAGATTCACAGATATGGATATGTAAGATTTAACTGCATGATTTCATGGATTCACTGCCCAGTGATGATTCCCATGTTGATGAATTGTTACATCTTAGCTTATGCCCTTTATCAGTCGGAGTCGTCTTAATCTGCAATAATTTGTCGTGAAGTATGTTTGTGGGGTATTGCCGTATTGGGACTAAGGTGCAAGCACATAAGGAGGGTGTTTAAAGTGATTTCAAGTCTATTTTAAAGCATTTGAAATTAAATTCCACACTGAAAGAATTGCATAATTTCCCTTTTGGCAATAGCTCAGCAGTCTTACTGGAAATTGTTACAGTTGTGCTAAGTTGTTTCGGTGTTCTCATTTCGTATTGAGAAATGAGAACCAATGACTCCTTAAGTAAACCTTATTATAGTAAAGCTTTTATATAAAAATTGTTAATTATTTAAATAGAAAAATATCAAAAGTGTTTTATAACCAAAGACGGCTTTAATATATAAGAAGAGGTAAAGGCAAATTTATAAAATATTTGGCTATTTTTAGAATTTTAGCACTTTAATTAACTGATTGAAATAAAATAATTTATTTTAAATTCTGTAAGTATCTTGAGAACCAATGACTTAATATTCTTTTTGTCTCTATCAACGAGTTACTTACATGTTGCTTATATAACCCATAAGTGACCAAACCATTCACTCTCAAGCCGTCATGCGCCAGACAGCATCTAAAGCTGTCTGCACTCTGCGGAGATAGCCACACCACTCAAGCTTTCGATTATATTGCTTTAAATCCTTGAAGGTGGACGAAGGCTTTTATTCAAACACCGTGGAAACGAAATACAGGGTTGCAAATTATAGGGATACATTGCACGCTTCTAGTTCAAGGATATATCAGCCCATAAATTAGTCTCTTTGAACTGTTACGGGTCACATGGCTATGGAAGAGGCCATAAATATTTAAGGCCGCAACACCACTACCATTGAGAGTTTTGCTTCCCCTCAATATCGTATGAGACTAAAGACAGAAGACGACCCATTGCTTCCTGCGGTTTGACTGTCCATTTTCTCGGAGTCGGACTAAAAAGCTCTTCCACATTTCAGGCCAAGTAACTCCCTGCCTGCCTATGCTTCCTTATTAAAAAGACCATGGCAAGAAAAGAAGAATAGAACGTGTTGGAACTAATATTGTTGTTTGAGCTATCTATGAATGAACATGTGTTGAAGACAAAACCAACTTGAGCAGAAAATTCAGATTAGTAACACCGCAACTAGATTTAAACCAAACTCTACCAATTCTTCGTTTATAAGAATAGCTAGATCTACAATAAACTGGTCTCATAAAATACACATGAATCAATATATTGCCAAATTCTTAAGCCATGACTAATCCAGCAGCAAATACCAATCAGGTCTCTCAATAGGACAATCTGCAATAACCAAAACCCTAAAATAATTGAATCCCATACAGCCAGCCACAGATTAAGCAACAACCACCCACATCCCCACATGGATAGCAAAAATGAATCCCAACATCCTAACAAGAAAGAAGAAAAGTTCTCCATTCACAGAGGCAGCTCCAAGTTCTTGAATTAAAAGTTTGATACTTTAGGAACTTCTACTGGAAAATTGTGGATTTCATCCATCCATGGGCTCTTCTCCTTTGCTGGGTTTATGGTCCTCAAAGCCTTCCACACCGCACTGTTACACTTGAACCCTGAACCAAATGCTATTTGCCATGTTCTATCACCCTTCCTTATCCTTCCCTTGGCTTCTGAATAAGCCAATTCGTACCAAAGAGAACTACTCGAGGTGTTGCCAAACCGATAAAGTGTCATTCTTGATGGTTCCATGTGCCAATCAGATAGCTGCAAGTTCTTCTCCAATTCATCCAATACAGCTCTTCCTCCAGCATGAATGCAGAAGTGCTCAAAAGCCAGTTTGAAATCCGGAATGTAAGGCTTGACTTTCATCTTGAAAAGTTTCTTTCCAACTAATGTAGCTAAGAACAGCAGTTGTTCAGACATTGGCAGAACAAGAGGCCCTAATGTGGTGATGTTAGTCTTCAAAGCATCACCTGCAACAGCCATCAGATCTCTCGACAAACTAACACCAATCTTCCCTTCAGAGTCTTCTTCTTGAGTAACACAGGCAAAACATTTATCATCGGCACCCTTGTGGGTACGGACAGTGTGCACCAATCTGTATTTCGATCTTCTTCTGTCAGAGTATCTATTTGAAAGCAAGATTGCAGCACCACCCATTCGAAACAAACAATTCGATACAAGCTTTGACCGATCATTACCAAAATACCAATTCAATGTGATGTTCTCCATGCTGATAACCAATGCATAAGAGTTGGGATGGACCTTAAGAAGATTTTTTGCAAGATCGATTGAAATCAAGCCCGCACTACAGCCCATCCCTCCCAAATTGTAGCTAACTATATTCCCTCGAAGCTTGTAATGGTTTATAACCATGGCAGACAGAGATGGAGTTGGATTGAACAAGCTACAATTCACAATCAAGATACCGATGTCTTTGGGTTTCACAGAAGTTTTAGCAAAAAGCTCATCAATTGCACCAAACATCACAGCCTCAGCTTCTTTTCTAGCTTCTTTCATTGATGGGTTTGGAGGGATGTTAAGGACAGCCTCTGGAAGGTAAGTAGAATCACCAAGTCCAGATCTTTCAAGGATCTTGTGCTGAAACTGGAGATTCTCCTCTGTAAACGTACCAGTCATCCGGGATTGATCCATGAAAATCTTTTTTGTGCATTTCCGAGATTCTTCAGGCTTGTAGCAGGATAAGTTTACAAGGTAAACAGGGCGAGGGCGAGTGAGAAAGTAGAGTGTTGAAAGGAATACAAGCAGAGTAGAGCATATAATAACAAAGATAAGATTATATTGTAGATGCTCCCAAAGATCATAAAGGTCTTGGAGAGAAAATGTGGAGACTTGTGCAGCAATTAGGACTACTAGAGGTGAAAGGAAGAGGTACATTCCATGAGTAATCAGGTAGTGGTACCCAAGTTTCACATATTTTAGCTTAATAGACTTCTTGAAATCAGGGAGTTTTCGAGTTGATGATGGGGGATTTAACGGCGTATTTAGATTTGGCTCAGACATTTTCCCTGCAACAAATACAGTTTATCAAGTTCAGATCAGATGCCGATAAAGATCATAATAACTGTAAATTTGAAGCAAATGACATGGACTACAATAAACCAAATAAGAATGTCAAAAGCAGTTCTGGAAAAGCATAACTTGTGTAACCTTTTCACGTTGGATTTAGATCTGAAACGTACTTTTTTCTATTTTCCCTTTTTATGAGGATTTACTTTTCCCCCTCTTTTCAAAATATGAAACATGTAATGTGAACAGAATACTCTGCTAATGGAAATATGCAAGAAATTAACTTTAAGGAAACCCAGGCCTGGAAAATCTGAAATGTGAACAAATAAAAATTCCAAGTCCTTCACAATCAAGTACACACATTGTTCCAGAAAAACTAAATTATTCTTTATTCCCAATTCAATAGCCATGAAAATCCACTGTTACCATTTGTAGATGAAAATGAGATAAAATTACACAAGCTCAGGTGAGAAATTCATAATCAGTCAAAATTACGGTGCTAAACCAGACCAGCATTCACATAAAAGGATTACGTGCATAAACTTAAAATGCAACAATAGTCTTAAAATGACGAAAACATACCTTCGAGGTGGCAGATGGCTTCAATCCCGACAGAAAATCCAAAGAGAGACACTTGAAATTTGAAAAGAAAAAATGAAGGCTAAAAGAGGGGAAAAAGTAAAGCCATAATATAATAGAGGAGACCGTTTAAGAAGCTGATAAGCTTACTACAGAGAGACAGAGGGCGGCGCCGTATTGTTTTGATTCTTTTGAATGTTTGACTTCAGTTTAATTGAGTCTTTGTCGGATTATCAAACGGTTGCGGTGGCTTATGCAGTTGGATACAACTATATAACGTTACAACCACCACTCTCCAATTATCTGTAACGTTTTCATTGACTTACAAAGGCCAGGTAACTTTTTTTTTTTTTAAATATTTTTTTCTAGAAAAACTTTTATATTTGCCAGCAAAAAAGCCAAAAACAACTCATACAATTACTCCTTTTTAAGAGTTTTGCAAAGAACAAATAATCCCACCTTAAACATTTCTATAAATTTGGCACAAACATCAACAATTATAAACTATTCTTACAGCGTAAATGAGGTTAATATAACTACCTCCAACTCCAAGTAGACGTGGTAGGAATTTTTAAACATATTACTCAAGAGTTTATGAGTTTGAACTTCGAAGAATATATTAATATGAATAGTTATCGGAGATCTTATTCGATCGATAGTTCTAGAATCTCCGAGGATATGCTAAGAGGGGGTCACGGAATTCTTATTCGACTGATAATTTTAAGGTCTTGATGGATTAGTTAAGGTGTGTGTAAACCAGTCTGGACACTCTTATTATGAAAAATAAAAAAAGAAAGATAATACATCTTTAATTGTTATTTAAAAATTCCTACGATAATATGGAATTAACTAAGATATATGATGAAAGATTTCATGTAGGTCTCACGTGAATACTAAACCCAAATCATGTAGATATAAATCTGTGCTTATAAGATTTGTGGGCCTTTCATTTCATGTGGTTGCCCCCGTTTGTCGTCTTTCTTTCTTGTTTCCCGTTTTTATATTTTTAAACATTCACAAATGTAAAATATCTTGATTCCCTTATAGAATTAATATTACTTATACCAACTATTCTCAACAAACCATTTTATCTTTCTTTTTTAATTTTTACTTATTGAAATACAAATTGGGATTTGTTTATTATCAATTTGTGTATTCATTTTGTCAAAATAAAAAAACTCTTACAGTTACTCCAAAGCTGAAAGCAATGGAAGAATCAATCAAAGATATATCTGATAATGAAAACTAAGCAGAGACAAACAAAGGACCATGAGCAAGCATGTGAATGAGATGTAAATCCTCCAAAAAGAGAAAAGGGACAGGTCACCAACTTCAACTTGGCACGTGAAAGATTTTAAGCCTTCTTTTTTGGAGCTTTTACACATGTATTGCCACCAATTACATAAGGTGGGTTGAGTTGTAAAAGAGGCTACCGCTAGTACACGTATTTGAAAGATCTGTAGCCAACTTTTTGTGTTTGATATGAAGCAAGACTCCTGGAAAATGCATATCCACAGGTTTACACTGGCTCTGCCGTGTACGACTACTCTTAAGATTTTTTTTTTTTTTTTTTTTTTTTGCGGTATGTTGTTTAGCATTTAGCATCAATCTTGCTAGTGAGAATGGAAATGTTTGTCCTGGTCCCTCTGGAGGTTGCCAGCGTTGATCTCAATTCCATTTCACCAACCAAATTCTTTGGCTTCTTCATTACGACTTTTGTTTCAAGTCCACCATAAGCAATAAAGGGGTATCTCCAGCTTCAGCTTGCATCATCACTTTATAATTAAGAAGCAAAAATTTTAAAGTCCACAGTTCATGTTGGCGGTTTAGGAGGCATGCAGATAACCTTTGTGAATAGTTGTTTCACAATTCAGATATCTGCAAGGAAAGAGTCAACAAATGAAAAAGTTTATCATGTCTAACTAAATAACCCATGGCCAGTATGCTGCCATGAGTTGGGCAAAATCATTCAAAACACATAAATGCGCAAAATGACAAGTTAAAGATTGGACATTTCTATGGACGGTACCTGTGTGGTGGAGATAAAGCAGAACCTGAGATATCTAGTTAGCAATTAATTGTTGGAACAGTATAGTTGTTTCAATGTTAAATGTGACTTTATGGAGTTTAATCCAGTATTGTATTTAATTTCATGGAGATTTTTCCTTAATGGATGACACAATAACCTACAAAACAATGGAGAAAAATCCGAGGAGAAAGGAAGCAAACAGTATTAGTATGGATCGTGGAAGAATTTTCCATTCGTATAAGAGTATGCATCTTTACAACTGCAAAAATTTCCAAATATGTTCACTAGCCAAATAAATATCCTTTGATACATGCCTGTACCAGTACATCCATCAGCACTTTTCTGAACAAAGTCTCAAGGCCACTTCAAGGCTAAGAAGACAGACAAGGAGTGAGACAGTATGACCATGAGTATACTAATCCAGTGAGAACTCCTCAAGCCATATCAGCACTTCATTCCTCTTCAATGAAACCAGCCCGGAAACAAGTATAAAGAATGGTGTTAATGAATATTACAAATTCAGAAGATAGTACTTAATGAAATTAAGTCAGATTAATAGAACAATTGTTGCATCAACATAGTAGACTGTCAAAGCAAGCCAGCTAAAAAGCACATTGTATCTAACCATGATGGTTCAGTCAGTTCAAAGAGTTATATGAGAGTGATGACTACTGAAGAAAGGTGAGGAGAATCCCTAATAGGAAAAAGGACTCTAGCATAAGAAGATAACAAAAGGACTCTAGCATAAGAAGATAACAATTCCAACAATGAAATATCTGAAAGTAAGTTGTGCCACTTTATACATGATCCATGTCAATACCAAACTCAGAAAAAGCCATGGAATTTTCTGATTTCCTCTATTCTATGAATTCATATTTTCCCTACATGGCACAATAAGAGTATAGAGTATTTATCGTCAATCAGAAGCAGTACCACACTTTTGTGAATTTGAGTTGTCACCAATGAAGTTACATCAGCATGAGTTCCTTAGGTTAATTAATGGTGTATGCAAAGGTTGAGAAAAAGAGTAGCATGTTGGCTTTCATTTGAAGCCAATACAATCCATTCTTTTTCTGAAAGTAGATGTTGAATCACCCTAACAACCACAGCTGGATATTTGAGGAGGTTCAACTCAAAATTGAATGAAACATTGCAGGACAAACATTGAACTGGATAAACAGTAGAAGCAACCTCAAGATACCTGAGAACAATGTGCTTAAACAGAAGCTAAGTATCATACCATTGTAAAGCTCCATGTTCGGCCTGGATCATTGTATCGAGCCAGCAAACAACCTTTCTTAGGTCTGAGACCATCTCTGATAAGACTAGAGCGCAATGCTTTCTCTTTGTCATAAACAATATCCTCAGTAGGTTTTCCACTAAACTTTAGTACTGCAGCAATGCCTCCTTCTACCTTTCTCAAGCTAACTGTTTCTTGATTAGGACCTGGTAAGCTGGACAAAGATCATACTTACAGCTTATCTTTTTAATAATAAAATGGACAGACAAATGTTCATTTTCAAATGATTTATAATTTAAACATCTATACATAATATTAATAGTCTCAATTTGAACAAGGGAGCCAATGTGGATGATGGGCCTCACCTGTTCATATCTTTGTTGAGTGGAAGAACTATTTGGATGGATACTTTTGACATATCAGCATCGTATGCCTCAGTGAAAACAGGAGTTGTCATAGGTATCTTCTCCATTGTGGAATTTTTTCCGAAAATATACCTGCAGAAATATAACAAACCATTTTTACTGTCTTGAACAATATATTATCTTAGGAACCACATAGGAAAAAAGAGTTACTGATTGGGATTTCAGGAACACATACCCAGTAACATCATTGAAACCAGAGGACCCAGATAGCTTGTCTCCATTAGTTTCTACCACGACAAATGGGGTGTATTCTCTAACCTATACAATCATCCAAATATTTACCCAAACATGTATAATCATCTGGAACGAACTCAGATTGATTAACTGATCATGGATATGATGCAAATGATAGTAGAATAAGTTTTTATCCAGAAAAACAAGAATTCTAACTTAGAGTGCACAAATTTCATGTAGGCCAAAGGACTAGTTATGGTGTTGGAGAATATGATCAATAGATTGAAAACGAATACAGTCATAGCAATAACATTCAAAATCTTACAGAAATGAATATATTATGATACCATAATTCAGCACCACTCCTGCCAGCTTTAATTTTTTCAGACAATTAGTATGTTTTTTCTCTCAATTTTTCTTTTTAAAAATTCTCCTCATTTTCTCAGTCAAACAAGAAATTTCATAAGAGAAGAAATCTTCTGGCACTAGAAAGATGTATGCTTTGATTCAAGGTTTCTGTATTATATAAAGACTCTTTGAGATCCAAACTTATCTATTCCACGAAAGACCACCTTGAAGAGAAATTGTTAGTCTTGATTTTTGCACAAATATTTGATGCATATTTCATAGCATCTTATACAGTCTCCCTTTCATTTTCTGTGATCATTTGAAATGACTTCACCACAAATCATGCACTGGATTTATACAATCAATTTTGCTGTTTTTTCAAAAGAACACCACTCTTTCTTACCTTATGATCCACATTTACAATGTAATTGGTGACTTAAACAAAATAGGAAAAAAACAATGATATAGTGATTGTTTCCAGCACCATGTGCAGGACCATTTTTCACATACAACTGATACTTATTTTCTCACCATCATTTTCTGGGATATTAAAGTTTAATTCAAGTCTCTTTTTACATTTTCTGTTATTGTCTTTGATAACTTAGCCACTAGTGGAAGATTCCACTCTTTAATATTAATAAAGAAATGCAATGATGTGAGATCTCAATTGGAGAGGAATGCGTAAGATCGGTGCCTTTCAAAGAACTGGGGATATGTTTGCAAAGATGCTGATTTCTGCAACAGAGTATAAGCATATAAGTAGTGAATGAACAGTAATCTATCCAAGATAAAGCAGACAACCTCATAGTTTGCAGTTCTTTTGAGTATCTGATATTTTGGCGTTTCCAGGTCAGGGGTCTTGTAAACTCGTAACTGCAAAGAATTACATTCTACAATAAGAAGGAACACTGATTTGTGTTCACACAAACATAACCATCTAATGGAATTTAAGCCAATAAAGAGCGAGTACCTGCTTAAATACATCCCACAAAC